CCTCATCAAACACACTTGCCTGTATCTCGGTTGATGAGTTGGAAACTCGAGACTCTGTCTCTTCTTCTGGAATCGTTTCTGAATTGCCGGAGGCAGTCAATTCGTGGCTAGATGTATGAGATGATGATGAGATAGAGGGAGTAGTTGAAGCGCTTGATTCTGTTTCTATTTCAGATGAGATTTTTCCGGGACCGCCGGTCTCAGAAATTTCAGTATTTTCGGATGAAATTTGGTGTTCTGCATTATCTGTATTGACGTTCTGACAAGAATAATTTATAATCTCTTGAATTTGATCATTAGTAAGTTTTGAAATGGAATTTGCACTATATGATTTGATGAATTTGATTTTATCATGGCCTATTTTTTCGAATAATATATAAATTTTCTCGGCTCTCTGTGTTTTTTTGCGCAAGGCATCCCGCGATATTTCTGGAAGATGTAAACCTAATTCTTGGGATCTTTTTTTGCGAAGTAAATTAAGCTGTTCTGTAATGGAATCATATAGTAAGCTTCTTGCTTTCTTTTCACCAATTTTACCTCCACTATTTTTTATAATCTCATTGAGCTGAACCCTGAAATCTTTTCCATAGATAGACCAACATGAGATTTCTTCTTGGTTAGCTCTATTTGCACCATCCTCAGCATCAAAAGCTTTATCACATAACTGCTTCATCAATGTTAGATTTTCCAGGACCGGCAGTCTCAGAAATTTCAATCACATGGTTTTGAATTATTTGCGATTCTTGTAGAGACGGCTCTGGAGTAAATAATTCTTGGATCAACCCCTGCCCACCTTTTACATTCAAAGGAGATTTAGTATCCTGGGAAGTTGTGATTTTTCCTTGATCTCGAAGCTTCTTCTCCCTAATGCTCTGAATTATCTCTTTGCTAACTCTCTCCTTATATACTGAATTATGAAAGTCATCCATGTCCTTGTCCTCTGATGATTTGGTCTCTGTGCGAATAGGTGATGTGAGATATTGGGATGAGGACTCATGATATATATCAGGATTTGAAGTATTGTTGGATATATCAGATGCCGAAACATTATTGGGTTCAGATACGGGTCCTTTA